ACCACCAGAATTTAACAATTCAGAAATCCACACCCTCTTAACACCACCAGAATTTAACAATTCAGAGATCCACAACCTCTTAACACCGCCAGAACTTAACAATTTAGGTCTTGACACCTAAGGAACTCAAAAGTTCCTCAACGTGAAATAATTTAGATAAAAGATTGCAGCATCACGAGCCAGAAGCGAAGCATCATGGCATCGGTAGCCAGAGAGATAATGTGAGAATCACCTGATAGATCTGAGAATAAAAAATACATGGAAACACGATCGAGCCTTTAGCCAATGGAAATTGCGAAGTGATATTCCATTAATATGCTCCTAGTGAACCCGTGAATGAGATAGAGAGAGAAACGGAGAGAGATTGAGAGAGTATGAGAGAACTTGAGAGATGAGCGAATACTGCTCAGGGGATGATTATTTGAGAATGTAGGAGGACGTGCCTCTGAATGCGGTTCATTCTCTGCTTTAAACAGAGCTTATTGAAATCTGACATATTTCACACCCGACAGTGGTTGAAGGTCATTGTTTGGTGGTAATTAAAGGTCCTTCTTAGGTAGTGGCTGGAGGTCACTGTAGGTAATGACTGATGGTTATCGTAAGGGGTGACTGAAAGAGATCATTGGAGATGGTGACTAGCAGTTATTCTAGGAGATAATTACAACCCAAGGTAACTATTTAGTGACTGTGATTAAGACTTTACTGTTGTTGATTGTGACTGGCAGCTACCATTAGAAATAAGTGAGACCCAATGTTATCTTTTAGTGACTGTGATTGAGATTCTTCTGCTGTTGACTGTGACTGGCAGCTGTCATTAGAGTTTCTTGTTGAAGTTTTATTTACCAGAAAGTCCGTCCAGTCAGGAGTCCCTTGCCGCGGTGAAGGGGGTTTAGATCCCAGGAATTGTACCCTTTTTCCCCCTTTCCCTCTGATCGAATTTATTCGAAATATATTCAGAAGCCAAGTTCCTCGGGGTAATTTTTTTTCGTTAACCCTCCACTGTTCTTAGCAGTGATGCTTGTCAGTTACTACAATACTGGGTATCCGAAACTTTCTCCCCTCGTCAGTATCTTTAGCAAAAACAATACATGTGCACTAGGGGTGTTTCCTTACACCTGCTGTCTCTGCTCACCTAACATTAAGTAGGTACCTGGGTGTCAGTAGACTGGCGTGGGTTGCATCCTGGGCGACAAAATTAGCATAGATTGTTCAAAATGCTCTGCATAATCAGGGGCCATAGGCTCTCTATATAGTATGTCACAAATATGATCAGCTATGGTCTGTATAAGTTGTATCGTGTACTAATAGAAATAAAGATTATTATTATTATTATTATTATTACTATTATTATTGTTATTAACAATAATAATAATAATAATAATAATAATAATAATAATAATAATAATAATAATAATAATAATAATAATAATAATAATAATAATAATAATAATAATAATATTATTATTATTATTATTATTATTATTATTATTATTATTATTATTATTATTATTATCATTATTATTATTATTATTATTATTATTATTTATTTTATTTATTATCACACTGGCCGATTCCCACCAAGGCAGGGTGGCCCGAAAAAGAAAAACTTTCACCATCATTCACTCCATCACTGTCTTGCCAGAAGGGTGCTTTACACTACAGTTTTTAAACTGCAACATTAACACCCCTCCTTCAGAGTGCAGGCACTGTACTTCCCATCTCCAGGACTCAAGTCCGGCCTGCAGGTTTCCCTGAACCCCTTCATAAATGTTACTTTGCTCACACTCCAACAGCACGTCAAGTATTAAAAACCATTTTTCTTCTTCTCTTTTTTAGTAAATGTCTACAGGAGAAGGGGTTACTAGCCCATTGCTCCCGGCATTTTAGTCGCCTCATACGACACGCATGGCTTACGGAGGAAAGATTCTTTTCCACTTCCCCATGGACAATAGAAGAAATAAAGAAGAACAAGAGCTATTTAGAATAAGGAGAAAAACCTAGATGTATGTATATATATATATATGCATGTGCGTGTCTGTGAAGTGTGACCAAAGTGTAAGTAGGAGTAGCAAGATATCCCTGTTATCTAGCGTGTTTATGAGACAGAAAAAGAAACCAGCAATCCTACCATCATGCAAAACAGTTACAGGTTTCTGTTTCACAGTCATCTGGCAGGACGGTAGTACTTCCCTGGGTGGTTGCTGTCTACCAACCTACTACCTGAAATTATTATTATTATTATTATTATTATTATTATTATTATTATTATTATTATTATTATTATTATTATTATTATTATTATTCAGATAGGACCATTCCACCATCAATGTCTTACTCCACCTTGATTCACACTTTTTATAGTCTTGACCGACAGCCATGCAGTTACTGCTGTCTTTTGTCGATGTTGAAGTTGAGAAATGACACAAGCCGACATATGGTGAAACAGATGTAAAGAGTATCTTGAGTGAGATGTTTCGCCTGTGTAGCAAGCTTCTTCAGTCAATGATTGACTAAGAAAGCCTGTTCCACTCTACAACTGTCTTTTCCACCATTGTCCCTTGATATTATCAATGACACCGCCTGATATTACAATATTTTCTCCAAAGTTTATGTCTGGGTCGTAAGAACATAAATATAAATTTTCCTTAAAAATTTTCGCCATCATTAAAGTAGGTCAGTTATCGAGTAAATAGCAGCTTTTTTTGCCCCCTGACCTTGTGCAAGTCGAAGGTGTACAACAAGTCTGCGTTCTCAGTATCACGCTTTACTTCGCAGCTATCTATGGATTTGCCCTGGTTCTGCTCGCAGGCATCTGGTTCTTTGAAGATGAATGGTTCAGAGAACCGACATGTTGATAAATTAGACACATGTGCAACTCTTGGGTATCTTTATTGAGGAAACGTTTCGCCACACAGTGGCTTCATCAGTCCATACAAAGGAGAATCTTGAAGAACAGGAGGAGACTGACCACATCGACTCAAGGTTGAGGGACTGATTACCTCATTCTCCTCCTGTTCTTCAACAATCTCCTTTGTATGGACTGATGAAGCCACTGTGTGGCGAAACGTTTCCTCAATAAAGATACCCAAGAGTTGCACATGTGTCTAATTTATCATCTGGTTCTTTGTATGTTGATAATATTGATGTGCAGGCACAGAATGTCGGCTCGTGGCAACCACTCTCCAACACCCAGCCGTGTGAATCATGTGAATCATATGTGAATCATGGTTCACATGATTCACACACACTAAGAGGTATGTATATCTGTATTCACTTTAAATTTGTTTACATCACATTGTATATTGACCGAAACGTGCTCTACCACCAGGTTAGTCAGGTGTGTATTTCTCAGTGTTTATAGTTATACACAGAGAGCCTGACTTTAATCCCTGACTTTAATCCCTATCTTGGGGATTACAGTCTCCTTGACTGGTAGCGCACAAGTAACATGCAGCCTCAATAACACTCCTGTAGTCGATAGTCGGTCCCTGACGGGGCCAGGAGCTATGAATCGACCCCTGCAACCACAACTAGGTGAGTACATCAAGGTGAGTATACCGCCAATGTCAAATTCTCATCCATGATAACTATTTTTAATATATTGGAAAAAAAAAGCTAGAAATTTGATCCAAAATCCCTCCCAAATCCGGATTTTTTGATACACCTTACGAGAACAGCCCAGCAACAGAAATCCAGCCGGGGATCGAAATATATCTCATTAATCTCCGATCAGCGTGACGATCACAATGCCACGGCTTCTCGTCCCTGGGGGTCGATGTTGTCTGATACATATTTCGGAAACTGCAAATGAGTCTCCCGCCCCTGACTGCCTCCCTGACGCGGAGTGATACATGGCCCCCATCAACACTCTTGACGAAGACTGAGTTAGTCCTCCGCAACACCAAGTACCTCCCCATTTTCTCCTCACACAAACCAGCAGAAGAGTGCACCATCAATCATGGTTGAGGATCGGGGATTGATGGCACGGTTGACGGGGAGGATTTAATCTCGACGGGCAATTGATGCATCCGCGCCATTACTTATAAATGATGGATAGTCTTGCGTTTGGTTTCCTAATGTACTACTCTGTTTTAAGCTTAGTGTGAAAGACTATTTAGCTTAATTTAGGACAAGTTTGGATAACCACCAAACACACCCAGGCAGCAACCATATATACATATATATATATATATATATATATATATATATATATATATATATATATATATATATATATATATATATATTATAAGAGGTTTTGTGTGCGAGGGGCTTGGACTTCCAGCAGGCATGCGTGAGCGTGTTTGATAGGAGTGAATGGAGACAAATGGTTTTTAATACTTGACGTGCTGTTGGAGTGTGAGCAAAGTAACATTTATGAAGGGGTTCAGGGAAACCGGCAGGCCGGACTTGAGTCCTGGAGATGGGAAGTACAGTGCCTGCACTCTGAAGGAGGGGTGTTAATGTTGCAGTTTAAAAACTGTAGTGTAAAGCACCCTTCTGGCAAGACAGTGATGGAGTGAATGATGGTGAAAGTTTTTCTTTTTCGGGCCACCCTGCCTCGGTGGGAATCGGCCAGTGTGATAATAATAATAAATATATATATATATATATATATATATATATTATATATATATATATATATATATATATATATATATATATATATATATATATATATATATATATATATATATTATTACATAATATGGCACAGAAGATTTAAGAGATACATTGTTGATATAAAGGTGGCATATACGGTACATGTTGTTACGTATGTATCACCGATTATAAGGCGAAAATCTCATCCGGCTCCAAAGAGCTGGGGCGTGTGCCCAAAATGCAGCATATATATTATATATATATATATATATATATATATATATATATATATATATATATATATATATATATATATATATATATAATATATAATATATATATATATATATATATATATATATATATATATATATATGATTATTTTATTATTTACTTACCAAAAACAAAGAGGTAGACAGGGAAGGTGATGGGATCAGTGGGGTGAGTGTTGACCTGACACTCATAGCGGCCACTGTCTCGAGGCTGCACTGAGTTGATCTTCAGGACCCACGACTGTGAGTTGGAGTCCGGCGAGTGTATCACTTCGAACCTGTCATCTGCAGTGTAGGTGTACTGCGCTACCGTCAGGATGTGCAGGTCCGACACTCTGATCCACGACACCTAAGAACATAAGAAGGATCACTGTAGCAGGCCTACTGGCCCATGCCAGGCAAGTTCAAGTCACACCCGCCCAAGCAGGCCTGATGGCCTAAGCTGGGCAGGTCCAACTCACACCTACCCACCAAGACCACAGTTGTGGGACTATACATGGAAGCCAGTGGAAGCCTTGAATGTTTGTTTTGCAACTGCAAAACAAACATTCAAGGACTTTGGAAAACATTTGATTTTCGAATTTAAAATATATGTACATATTTAGATATAATAGAAAGTAGTACATATTTATTATCTTAGAAGAAATATGTAAACCAATTATTTTCCGTGACATGAAAACAGTAAATCAAGTCGTAAATTGTAAATGATAATCCGATTAAAAATAGAAAAAAGACAAAGAAATCTTACAATGAGACTGATAAATCAATCTGAAATGGAGAAAGAGAGACACCGCGTATACTCCGTGAGGTGTATGCCTCTCTTTATGCTCTAAATTCCATTAATTTCCCAGTCAACTATTTGGCTACTCTTAACACAGACTAGCATTTCATACAGCAACAAGTGTTAGATGCTAAATGTTTCACATTACGAAATAGAACGTCAGCATCAAAGCTGACGGTAGATGCCCTTCTATGTACACGTATGAGCAGTTGTGTATTGAGCTATAACAATTGCTACTTACATAGAGTAGTGAGGGAACTCGACCCTTCACCGAATATCAAAGGAAGTAAGAGCTCAAAATTAATTAGGAATTCATGTGTAGGTTAGACCTGCCTGTGTGAAAGGTAAGCAAGAGAATAGTGCAGTGGTGAGCAGTGCTGTGCAGCGAGGAGTGCTGTGGTGAGCAGTGTTGTGCAGCGAGGAGTGCTGTGGTGAGCAGTGTTGTGCAGCGAGGAGTGCTGTGGTGAGCAATGTTGTGCAGCGAGGAGTGCTGTGGTGAGCAGTGCTGTGCAGCGAGGAGTGCTGTGGTGAGCAGTGCTGTGCAGCGAGGAGTGCTGTGGTGAGCAGTGCTGTGCAGCGAGGAGTGCTGTGGTGAGCAGTGTTGTGCAGCGAGGAGTGCTGTGGTGAGCAATGTTGTGCAGCGAGGAGTGCTGTGGTGAGCAGTGTTGTGCAGCGAGGAGTGCTGTGGTGAGCAATGTTGTGCAGCGAGGAGTGCTGTGGTGAGCAGTGCTGTGCAGCGAGGAGTGCTGTGGTGAGCAGTGTTGTGCAGCGAGGAGTGCTGTGGTGAGCAGTGCTGTGCAGCGAGGAGTGCTGTGGTGAGCAGTGTTGTGCAGCGAGGAGTGCTGTGGTGAGCAGTGCTGTGCAGCGAGGAGTGCTGTGGTGAGCAGTGTTGTGCAGCGAGGAGTGCTGTGGTGAGCAATGTTGTGCAGCGAGGAGTGCTGTGGTGAGCAGTGTTGTGCAGCGAGGAGTGCTGTGGTGAGCAGTGTTGTGCAGCGAGGAGTGCTGTGGTGAGCAGTGTTGTGCAGCGAGGAGTGCTGTGGTGAGCAGTGTTGTGCAGCGAGGAGTGCTGTGGTGAGCATTGTTGTGGTGTGAGGAGCACTGGAGTGAGCAGTGCTGTGAGAAGCTGTGAGACGAATGCAATAACTGTTCTCTAGCTGATAGTAGAAGTGTTTGTGTCCTGGATGTAGCTTGTCTGTGATGTCACTCTGGTGCCTTCATTTGAGGTAATAAAAGACAAATTTACTGACTCTCTCTCTCTTGATGGAAAGTAATAATCTCACTCACTCACTCATGACGTAAAGTAACAAACTCACTTTCTCATTTTAGACAAAAATCATAGCTGTAGTTTGAAAAAAAATGTTGAAAAAATATACTAAAATCAGTAGAGGATCGCATTATAATATACACAAAACGGAAATTAAAAATCCATCCCCCCCAAAAAATCACGTCCGTTTACTTTCCAAAACTTTTTTTGAAAATTTCCAGCGTTTTGCAGGCCTTTTTTTTTTTTTTTCCCTGACGTATATTGGTTTTAGAAACATGATTTTTTTCTGCTCAACTCCGAAGGTTTTGTCGTGTTGTCGTGACGGGAAGAGAGGGAGCGTCAGCGGGAGGAATTCAAAGTATGTATGTAAAGTCCACGGATGTTGCCTTCAGGAAGGGAGGGGGAAAAGATATATTACATACACCCCCTCTGGCTGTAGACAGTGTCCCTCACTGACAGTAACAGGACAGGGTGAACTAACAGACAGACAGGCATAGACACATACAGAAAACAAGCCAAGTGTCTATTTGACAAGAGTATTTTAGATTCCAGTCACGGTATTGTGCTTAATTATTCTACAACAACAACAACAACAACAACAACTACTACTCCTACTACTACTACTACTACAACTACTACTACTACTACTACTACAACCACACATTAAATTTTCTTTGCGTGTCGTAAAAGTCGACAAAATGAGGGGAGGAGGCAGGTCACCCTATTATCCTGTAATTAATAACAAAAAAGATAAAGAATCAAATTGTGTTTTTTTTCCTTCGTGTCACCCTGGTGGGTGACCCTGCCTAGGTGGGTGACCCTGCCTAGGTGGGTGACCCTGCCAAGGTGGGTGACCCTGCCTAGGTGGGTGACCCTGCCTAAGTGGGTGACCCTGCCTTGGTGGGTGACCCTGCCAAAGTGGGTGACCCTGCCTAGGTGGGTGACCCTGCCTAGGTGGGTGACCCTGCCTAGGTGGGTGACCCTGCCAAGGTGGGTGACCCTGCCAAGGTGGGTGACCCTGCCTAGGTGGGTGACCCTGCCTGGGTGGGTGACCCTGCCTAGGTGGGTGACCCTGCCTAGGTGGGTGACCCTGCCTAGGTGGGTGACCCTGCCAAGGTGGGTGACCCTGCCAAGGTGGGTGACCCTGCCTAGGTGGGTGACCCTGCCTAGGTCGAGTGAGGGTCGAGTTTATTCCCCAAGTAAGAATCAATAAATTCCCTACATGACTGGACAATTTGCTGTCCATATACCAGCGGTTAATTTATTTCGTGTGAGAGTGGGCAATTTACCACTCAGTATAAAAGATAAATTAATCCGTTCTTCAACTTTGATGATAAAATCAATCATCAAAAAATATATCGTAACATATATATGTTTATGATTTAAAAGCATCGGTATATTTTGTGCTCGCCCGACAGCACAAGTGACAGGTCATTGCAGGTGTAATTAGTGCTGAGTGGAAGAGAGCTGAAAGAGCTTTGGGTGAAATGATTGCTGTGTTTAGCAGGTTTATGGTGAGAGGTGTTAGCTTGATACTATATAGTGATGAATCAGCTTGTGTGAGCTATGTTCTGTAGGCTGGTATGTGTGTGTGTGAGAGTGTGTGTGTGTGTGTGTGTGTGTGTGTGTGTGTGTGTGTGTGTGTGTGTGTGTGTGTGTGAGAGAGAGAGAGAGAGAGAGAGAGAGAGAGAGAGAGAGAGAGAGAGGTACACCCACACATTCATACACACGCAAACACACACCCACACACACACACACACACACCCACACAAACACACACACACACCCACACACACACACAACACACACACACACACACACCCACACACACACACAACACACACACACACACACACACCACACACACACACACACACACACACACACACACACACACACACACACACACACACACACACACACACACACACACACCACACACACAAAGACAGAATGTTCCAGGGAGGGGACACAGAAACAAGAGGTCACAATTGAAAGTTGAAGACTCAGATGAGTCAAAGGGATGTTAGGAAGTATTTCTTCAATCATGGAGTTGTCAGGCAGTGGAATATCCTAGGAAGTGACGTAGTGGAGGCGGGAACCATACAAAGTTTTAAGACGAGGTTTGATAAAGCTCATGGAGAAGGAAGAGAGAGGACCCAGTAGCAACAAGTGAAGAGGCGGGGCCAGGAGCTAGGACTCGACCCCTGCAACCACAAAAAGGTAAGTACGTATAGGTGAGTACACACACACACACACACACACACACACAAACACACACACACACACACACAACACACACACACACACACACACACACACACACACACACACACACACACACACACACACACACACACACACACACACACACACACACACACACACACACACACACACACACACACACAGCAACGCAAACATTTACCAACGTTTACATTCCTCGGAATTTCAATATGCTCTATTTGCTAATAATAGCACTCTCAGAAACCAACTAATTGCTGTGTTTGTTAATACCGTGAATCTGTATGAATGGCAACACAAAATGCCACAGCTAATCAGTGAGTGAAATAAGCTCGTGTATATATATATATATATATATTATAATATATATATATATATATATATATATATATATATATATATATATATATATATATATATATATATAATATATTTGCACAAGTGACATGGTCCTTAGGCAAATAGATAAATTAAAACCTAACAAATCCCCAGGCCCTGATGAACTGTATGCAAGGGTTCTAAAGGAATGTAAAGAGGAGCTTAGCACACCTTTGGCTAATCTTTTCAACATATCACTACAAACTGGCATGGTGCCAGATAAGTGGAAAATGGCAAATGTGATACCTATTTTCAAAACAGGTGACAGGTCCTTAGCTTCGAACTATAGACCAATAAGCCTAACCTCCATAGTGGGAAAATTTATGGAATCAATAATTGCCGAGGCAGTTCGTAGCCACCTTGATAAGCATAAATTAATCAACGAATCTCAGCATGGTTTTACAAAGGGGCGTTCCTGCCTTACGAATTTATTAACTTTTTCACTAAGGTATTTGAGGAGGTAGATCATGGTAATGAATATGATATTGTGTATATGGACTTCAGTAAGGCTTTTGACAGGGTCCCACATCAGAGACTATTGAGGAAAATTAAAGCACATGGAATAGGAGGAGAAATTTTTTCCTGGATAGAGGCATGGTTGACAAATAGGCAGCAGAGAGTTTGCATAAATGGGAGAAATCAGAGTGGGGAAGCGTCACGAGCGGTGTTCCACAGGGGTCAG